TTGAGGTTTAAAATTTAAATCATGGATAGCTTTATTTTGATTTTATCATCCTTTTTTATATTTGTTTTTATGCTTTCAGATTGCTGACTGGATCAATATTGGCTCATGAGATGATGCACGCGTGGCTACGTCTTAATGGTGCGTTTGTCAAAGCCTAGTCTATATTCCACAATTGCCCCATCAAAATTTCTAATTATGTGAAAAAAAGAAAAAATATTGTAACTCATGCTTAGTAAACACATCTCCCTCTCATTACATTGTTTTTTTATTTTCGACAAGGTTACCGAACTCTCAGACAAGACGTCGAAGAAGGTATCTGCCAGGTCATCGCCAGCATGTGGCTCGAATCTCAGATTCTGTTCATGTCTGATGCTGAAAACGCATCCACCTCATCATCTTCATATGGCTCGATGTCAAGACAGGGAGCAAGATCTCGATTCGAGAAGAAACTCGGCGTGTTTTTCAAACACCAGATTGCAACCGACACATCTCTTGTGTACGGTCACGGTTTTCGAGCCGGTAATGAGGCTGTGCAGAAATTTGGCTTGCAGAGGACACTCGACCACATGAAGGAGACCGGAAGCTTCCCAGAGTGAAAGTTCGGTGCCGAACAATTCGAGAATATATTCTTTTTTATTACATTTTCCTTTTTTATTTTCAGTTTTTTTGAATTACAGAATGGCCATTTTGAAACACATGCCACTACTGGTACAGGAGTGTTTAGACTAGAGTAAGGAGTCATTTTGCAAATCTCTGTATATTTTTTAGGCCCTTACATATATACTTCTGGAAATGCTGGAAAATTCATATTCATTTGTATATTTTTTTTTTTTTCTGTCTTTTTGTTTTACCTTGACTAATTGTTGATTCAATTGACTGCATTTGAATTTGCCCCCAGTCTTGTTCTTGGATATTTACAGCAACAATGAAACACCTTAGGCTTACTGAGCAGCCCGGTTCGACCTGGACATCCGGCAAAAAATGCCCGGTTTTTCTTGGTCAATGAAGCACGAGCCTGTAAGCGGGCCGAAAATAACCTCTGATTAATTTCACTAAAAAAAATTAACATCTTAATAACTTATGATAAATTCAAATGGTACGGAACATTGGGTCTTTGGTTAGTGATGGTGCTCCATCAAATACAAGCTAGTTGGACCTCTTTAAATCTCCGATTGGGCTTGAAAATCCAGTCACTTGAGACAAGTTAGTGAAGGATCTGGAAGAAGATGAAGACCGAAGGAGATTGCAAATATCATAAAATGAGAAAGCAAAATAAGCCACTAATCGTACCTTTATCCCCTATTTATAGTGTGGTGATCTTACTCTAATAGTGTCTTGTGCCCTAGAGAAGGCTGTCCGGAAGTACAACGAGTTGCCCAAGCGGCTGCTCGAAAGGGACAATCGACTGCTCGGATGAGCTACTCGAAATCGTCCTAACCCTAATGACTAGAATTATCTTAATACGTTCCCACTTGGCTATTATCATTTAGGTCTTTTGAATTCAGGTCAAGGTACCTTCTAAGACCTATTTAGGTCATGGGGTCCTTTTAGCTCTTCTAAGACCTATTTAGGTCATTAGGTCCTTTCTAGCTCTTCTAACTTTCAAGACCTATTTAAGTTATTAGGTCCTTTGGTTATTGTTTAGTATAGAATTGATGGGCAAGGGATAACCGAGCTACCCGACTCGGGTCGATCTCGAAGGAAGGCTATTCGGAGCTTTGTCTACTAGATGATCGTCCAAATCACAAAAAGTGGAAAATAAAATCCTAAACATTCTAAACAATTGATTGGATGGTTGATTAACACTAATCGAGCACTTAAAAACGAGCAATTAATTGAAAGCAAGATCAAAAGGCGAGCATTTCGCAAACTAGATCACCGGAGTCTCATGTCATAACCAATACGGGATGATAATCAATCGGCATACGGAATAAACGAGCTACGAGCATTAGATTGCTAACCCTAGTCGTCTAACCGAGATCAACAAGTAATTAACGGCTCTATCTACTCAAGCAAGCAATCAAGTTCAAGCATTTCCACCATCATCAATCAAATCCAATTTACTCTAATAAGCATTATAAGTAAAACCGGAGCAAAAACGAAGTAAAGAGTTTTAAAACTAAATACTCAATCTCCCATTGCGTAGACGATGAAAAACGGAGTCAAAAGCTCGAAACTTGAACGAAACCGAAGTCGCTGGAAAATCTCCCGGAAAATAGCATAAGCTCCTAATCTAGAGAGCAAAAACTAAACATAAGCTAGTTTCCCAAAGAGAAAAAATGAAAAATGAGAGAATGCCTATTCAAAATGCAAAGGAACAAAAATATTTATACTCCAGCCAAAACACACACTAGAAAAACGCACAATTAAAAAGACACTCTCGAGCTCTCCGCAAGATTTGCGCGCTCGCCGGAGGTGATGTGCATGGATGCGGCACTCTCGAGCTCGCCGAGGGAGTAGCGGGCATGCGAGCGTGCGGGCATGGGCGGTGGGACACTCTCGAGCGCGCGGAAGTTGTGGTGGGCACGCGAGCGCAGGTGTTGGCACACTCTCGAGGTCGCGCTGGGCTCCGCGGGCGCGCGAGTGATGGCAGGCGGGCATCGGCGCTGCGTGCGTGCATGCGGGTCGTGGCACTCTCGAGGTCGCGCTAAGTTCCGCGAGGTTGCGATCGTTGGGCGTGTGCGAGGTCAACACTCTCGATGTCGCCAGCTGTTCCGCGAGCTCGGGAGTTGGGATGTGCGCGTGATTGGCTGCTGCTTGCGTCCGCGGGGTCGTGGAAAATGGCGCGAGCACCCGAGTGTGGATGTTCGGCTGCTGCGTGCGTCCGCGAGTGCGTGGGTAAGGGCGCGACCGCGCGAGTGCAGGCCAGCAAGGTATTCTCGTCAAGGGCTCGATATGCTCGAGTAAGAATTTGCTCGTACGAAATGGCTCTAAAATGCTCGTCTCTTGGGATTCGGTTTGACTCGTCTGTAATCCACGGGAAAAACCTGAAAATATACAACGAGCACGGAAAAGTATGCCAAAATATAAAATAAAACGAAAGACACGAAAACACACGGAAAACGACAAAATGGACCGGACGACACTAAAAACGAGCCTAAAACCGACTCGAACACACATATAAACACATAAAAATAAACACAAAAACATAATAAACAGTTATTTAGGTCATTTTGGGCCGGTAAGTCTCGAGTCCAGCTCCACCAGTCGACATGGCTGCCCTGATGAGTTGGCTTGGTCGAATTGTGATCATATCGGGCTATGTTCCTATCTATATCGATTAAGTTGTTTGCCGCGGTTGGCTACAAAAGTTATCCTTGTTTTGACTGATAGGATATATATTACACTTCTTAAAAACAAATTTCAACTCAACTCTTCAACATTATTAATATCATTAAATAATATCGATCAACCATTCTAACACATCAACTCAACTATAAATCAGTATTCACCTATTCACATATTTATAACTACCTATAATTTCAAATAATTTCACTCTTTTTTACAATACATTAACTTTAGTCATTACATTTTAAATATTATTAATATCCAATCACGCCTTTAATGGCTAGACATTCATGTGTACTACCCTTTCGAGTTTCAACGTATGTACATTCTTTCATACTTTAAAATACAATATAAACAAAAGTATGACATTTCATAACATAAACATACATATATTTTGTAAGAAAGTATAACTCTCTATAGGCTAAAGTACAACCCAACATCAGCATTTGTGGTTAAAGAAATTATTGACCATGGTACAAATGCAACAATCATGGTCCTTACAAAATTCAAAGTGCCAGCATAATGTGGATGGGCTTTATTACTTTATATGTGTCTTGTACTCCATGATTAACAATCACCATGATAATAAAAATAATATCATTACCTTTTTTCCTTGTAATTATAATTATTCATTTTTATATAGCCAAGAGATCACACATCCACTCTCAAGATCCTAATGTTTCAAAGCAAAGCAGACATTCCCACAAACACAATTTGGTTGATATATCTAAAAAAAATCAGTCAATGTTATTCAATTTTAGTCAAGTATATATAGGGAGATTCTACGATTCCGTGACGGAACCATCCCGTCGGGGTTTGTAACCGTTAGATCAACTATCCACGACAGTTACATGATAATTTAACGGTCACAAATTCCGACAGAATGGTTCCGTAACAGAACTGTAGCATTTCCCAATATATATATACTCTCTAACATTATACTTGAAAGTACAGACCAAGATTTACAAATAACCATGTAAAACACAATAAATTCATCCACATTAGTCCTCTGACATAACAAAAGAAAAGATCTATGCCTAAGAGCACCCACAATGCTTTGGGTTTCTTAGAAAAAAGTTACATGCCATGTAAGAAATAGACCTAGTCTATAAAAAAGTGTTCTCCAATGCAATTAAAAGTGGACCTAGTCTAGCTTATGTGGCAATAAAAAAATGAGACCTAGTCCACACTTGGGTCTATTTTAGACCCAAGTACAAACCCAAGCACTCATCATTTATTCCTCATTTAATTTTTCTTTTAATAAATAAAATATACTAGAGCATTTTTATTGGTTGTCATGTATTCTAGACCTAGTACTTTTTTGTTTTGCATTGGATAGATTTTGGTTTTTTTAGTTTAGGTTTGTCCATGTCATTATGGACTTAAGTCTATTTATTTGCCACATATGCAAAAAGAGACCCAAAGCATTGTGGATGCTCTAAAATCTCACCTTCTTTAGAGTTATTTATTGGACTCAATAAATTCATTTCATGTGCAGTCCAATATGGATGGCATTAAATATATGTGTCACTTCATCTTCATGGAAGGTGCTTTAGAAATAGGGACAATGTATAATTTAAGTCCATTTGAACTGTGAATGAGATACCCTTCACTTGTACCTTGACTTTTTCTAGTTTCTGTGGGCTTTTTTTAATTTTATTGCAATGCCCATGCTCATTTTTTATTTTATTTTATTATAGTTTTATTTTATTTTTTTTCAATATAGATATTAGTTTTGTAGAATTTGGAGCCAAATAAATAAAAATACATATTTATTCTATTTATTTATTATTTTGTTTGGATTTGATTAAAATAAATATTGTCATTTGTTGGTTTCTTATCTTTTTATCAGTAGAGTTTTTATAGGATTTGAACCTATTGATGTATATATAATAATTTTAAAATTTGTTTGAAATTGGGGATATCAGATTTCAAAAGGTTTGTACTTTACTGTCTATATGTACCTCCAAACATATTATTTACATTGAAAAACTTTCTGGCCTTATAAAATTAGTCTTTACATACTCAATACACCTAAAAGATTTTTTCACCCTTAGTCAATGTGCACATATAGGGTTAATTTGAGAATTACTTTTGGACAATGTTGTAAAAACAACAGCTTTAAGTAATTTATTTTACCGGCCGGTAATACCTGATACATTTGATTCGACTAGTAGTACAATTAGTCAATTTACCCTTTAAATGTAACTTTTTGTCAAAATTACTAGTGTATACAAGTTTTATATCAGAATATTCCAGATAAAATCAAAATTTTTTGACATTTTTTTTTTTTTTTGCATAAATAGAA